AAGTGCAAACTAAATGTTGCAATTAAATGACAATGTAGTATAGTTTAAATTTATATTATATGCCATTATCTGAACTTTATGTTATTAGGACTAATGTTATTGAAAAATGCTACTGTTGAATGTACCGATAAGCATTCAGGGTAAACTAAAATATGGTTTAATGTCATTTGTATTTGAACTTGTATTTAATGTAATTATTATAATTACATAAAATAACACACTTATAATCAAGTATTTTACATGTACTTTAGGATGTTAGTCAATTCAAGATTATTACATTTAAAATGTGCTTTAAAGTACATTACAGTACAAGTGTACATTTGACGCAATCAAGCATACTTATTTTTCACAAGGACTAGAGTGCATTCCTGTCTAGTTTAACAAATATCACGGCTGTTTCCCAGTCTAACAATGCGTCCTCTGTTGTGCCGTGCTGTACTGCATATGACGAAAGCCTTCCGAGTGCGTCAACTGACCTACAATGCCGAGACAAGAAATCCTTGTTTTTGGATGTCAAGTCAGTTTTACAAAAAGTGAATTTTAGACTATTATGCAATAAAGAATTATGCAGTCCGTTCAACATGCAAATTAGATGTCTGATTGTGTGGGCTGGAAATCTGATGTTGATGTAAATATTATGTAAAAGTCAAATTGACATAGGATTTGTTGCTAAGGTTTCCGTGCACATTGCTATCGTATATAATGCATGTGCTGTAAATACCGGTTTCAGTGTAAAATTCCAAATGATACTGTAACAACGTTCGTAGTTCGGAAAGAAGGAGGCGAGAACCGGCAAACATTTAAAGAAAACTTTAATAATAAAATAAACACAAAATAGCGCGACAGCCCCTCGCGGACGACTGTCGCGCACAAACAGAACCAAAACACAAAATAAAATCCAGGCCTGGTCCTCTCTCGTCCAACACTGTCGTCACTCCTCCTTTTATCCTTCAGGACCTCCCCCGTGGGGCTCGAGACCGGTGAGTGGCGCTGGTGTCGCGCATTAGCATTTCCTCCACCGGCCTCGCTCCGTTCCCACGGCTCTCGGCCCCGCCCCTCTCGTCACATACCCACATTGCCCCTCGCAGGCCGGGGGGTACCCACGAGACTGCGCTCTACTCCCCCCTCCCCCCTCCGGGGGAGCCGATCACGGCAGACGCGGCGTACCTGGGGGTAAGGACAGACAGACGAGGTGAGAGAAAAGGAGACGGAAGGATGAGGAGAGACGAGAGAGGGGAGAGAGGAGTTCCCAGACACACTGCCGCTCGGCCCTCCACCAGCTGGGTAAACTTTTCCGCGATGCCTGGCGGCGGCACTGGATAACCCTCGGTGGATGGCCCGACACTCCTCCGCCGCCTGGTGGACGGCTCCTCCGGGTTCGGGCAGCCGGCAGGAGTCCCCCGTTCCCTGCTCCTCCCCATCATGGCGGATGGCAGCAGGCTCCGGCCTCAGGCAAACGGCTGCGACTCCTCCGCTCCCTTACGGACGGCAGCCGTCCCTCCACATCCTAGGCGGCCGGCAGCGAGTTCGTCCGCACCCCCGGCAACTCACTCCAGCCCACTGCCTCGAGCGTCCACGGCGGCATACTGCTCCGCCATGCTTGATGGCACCGTGGATTCACCACAGGGGCTAGGGATATCTGGCAGCGTGTCCCTCCTTCCTCCTGGGTTTCGGCACCAATGTAACAATGTTCGTAGTTCGGGAAGAAGGAGGCGGGAACCGGCAAACATTTAAAGAAAACTTTAATAATAAAATAAACACAAAATAGCGCGACAGTCGTCCGCGAGGGGCTGTTGGCTTCGGCTCTTGGCCCCGCCCCTCTCGTCACAGACACATTTTCTGAACAAAACAGAACCCGGGGCAGGTTCCTCAGGTTCAGTCTGTGAAGTGTTTTCTCGACCAAATCCATGCTTTCAAATGGCTTTGTAAATGTGATTGTTGGCTTGTTATCATAGCGGCACAAGCAAAGCTATTTGTGGAATGTTGTTTTTCCTTGTATTGTTTCTCAAGGCAGTGTCGGGAACGCTGGAATGTGGCTGTGGGAACGAGGACCAGCTATCCCTGTTGAAAAAACAAGCATATGCTGGTTAGGTATGTTTTGAAGCATGGCAGCTGGTTTGAGCTGGTCATTAGTTGGTCCTGAGCTGAATATGAGCTGGTCCTGAACAGGAGCTAATTGCTTAGGACCAGCATATGACCAGATTATAACCAGCTCAAACCAGATGCCATGCTTCAAAACATACATAACCGGCATATGCTGGGTTTTTCAACAGGGATGTCATGATTGCCCTTACACAGATCGAATCCAGCATCTACTTACTGCATGTGCCAGCACAACAGACAGCCATTAGAAACCATAAACAGGCAACGATGAGAATTTGATTTTGTTTTGTAAAAGTTCATTAAAAATGATTGTCCATAGACTTACACTTGAAAAGAGCAAAAGCTTGTCAGAAAAAGTAGTGGACGCCAGCATTTAAGACAGGACTGGTCAGTAAAAATCATTAACAAACATGCCACAGTGAAGCCAGGTGATTGGAATGGAGAGGTTGAAAATTGTCAGAATGCCCAACAGGTAAGCCATTGCCAAGAGAGATTATTCTCTCATCAAGAGAGAATACAAACTTCTTTTTTAGCATTATCTGAATAGAATGCACCGACAAATAAATAAAACCAGGAACACATTAAGAAAGTAAATAGTGTAAATTCTGATTTCATGTTGACAAGGACAAGCACTTTAGTAAATCCTACTTGACATTAAAATTGGCAAAGGCACTATGATCACAGGCCAAAATCTGCTTGAAGAGAAATGCATTGAGTGACCTCTGCTGACTCTTACTGGGAACTTACAGCAACCACGGCTGTTGTCAAACTTCCAAAAACACCAAATCACTAAAATTATTTACAGAAAAAAATCAGCAAAAAGGCATGAAATAATAATAGAAATATCTCCTGTTTATTACCACTGTTTTGCTCATTTGTTTTGTAGTTCATTTTATATTGTGCATTTGTAGGACATAATTGAATTATCTTAAGGAGAACAAGTATCAAAGAATATATTTACGCCATATTTCATTAGCATACAGTACATTTCATAACTCATGTCCGACGCTGATAGGAAATCAATTGGAATTAAGGTTATTGTGTGGCCATAAGAGCCTCAGTAATCCACTAAATCCTGGATTTGGCTCTCCAGCTGGTTCCACTCAGTTTCTGACCTTGCTAGAGAGATTAAGGGGCCGTTTACACGACAACGTTTTCAGCCAAAGACGGGAAACTTTTTATGCTTTTTGCCTGTTCGTTTACACGACAACGACGTTTTAGGGACTGAAAACGCACATTTTTGAAAACGGGTTTCAAAGTGTAAGTTTTTGAAAACGCCACTGTTGTCGTGTCTGTGTAAAACACCCAAAACAGGAATCTTTGAAAACGGTGACATCATGCTTGTGCGTAGTACGTGTTAGGTATGTACACTTGAGCAGTACGTGTTGATTTTAAAGGCAAGCGCAAAGAAACATACACAACAATGGCGGAGTACATGGTACTGTTGTTGCTGCTTAAGAGTTTGCTAACACTTCTTCAGCAAAGTTTGGATTTACTTCACCAATATTACAACCAACAGCGGAGAAGCATCATATACATCATATAATCGTCACTTCCCTACAGGTACTGTTTACTAACAAGGTGATAGCGCCAACTACTGGCCTGGCATACGTAATACAGCGTTTTTGGCCGTTTTCTCGGATATGTGTAAACGCGAATCGTTTTGAAAGCATTGTCTTGTATACCTGAAACTTTTTCAAAACGCAAGGGAAAAACTTTTCCGTTTTTGACTACATCGTTGTCGTGTAAACGTAGCCTAAAGCAGTGGGCATTTCCTGACAAGGGCCCCACAGCAGGGAGCCACAATGTCCCACTTTAGGACATAGATCCCCACACCCATATTACATGCACACTGCAAAAAGAGTTTCCAGTATTTCTGACCTGATGAGACAAGGTTTGATTCTGTTTTTAATTGTTGGTCTTTGTATAGATGCAGGTGGATGTTCCAGCAACCCAAAAGAGTTTGCTTCTGTTATACAGCAGCAGCAAAGGGAGGCAGTACTGTTTTTTCCCTGCATACTTTTGAAATGAAATGTTCATCAAGACACAAGAGGACAGGCTCTGATGTTAACTGATGATGATGGCACCTGGCTCACTGTTCCAGTTCATCCCAAAGTTGTTGAGTGGGGCAGACGGCCAACATGGCAGATTTTCAAGCACTATTTATCACTGGACTCTAAAGGGACCAGGCTCATGACTTTAACAAATTACTAGAAAAGTGCAAATTTATCATACACTTGTGAAAGAGAATTAAGCTAAACTGTTGTAGTGATCGTGAGGTGGAGCTGCGGCATCAAAGTCCCGCCCAAACTCCCGCAGACCCAGTCGCAAGATTGCAATCATGACACCACACCCCCTTTTTATAGCATCAAATAACTAACTAAAAGCAAACTTATTAGAAACACTTGAACATACATCAGCATGCTAAGAACTACTTAAAATGACGGAAACCATCTTTAGAAAAAATTTATTTGAAGTGTCATTTGATTATTTAGTTTGTCTCACGTCCCATTAGATTACATGGAGAGGGTGGGGTTTATGACCTATACTGGGTCCAGCCACCTGGGTGTGATTGAAATGTTTTGGCTTCACGTTTTAGGACTTGTGCGGCACACTTGGTTTTGACTGATGAAACGTGAAGACAATACATACACGATTGTAAAAAAATATATGGTTTGTGAGTTTTTTCAAGTCATCTGCAGGTAATAAATAAAGTATCTGAATAATCCAGTGCTAACTGACATAGCATTTATTACAGTATAGAAATTAGAAAATATATGTTCTCCCATATTCTGTGATAAAAAAAATGGGGGAAAAAAGGAGACCAATTAGACCAAAAAAAGGAGGGGGGGGGGGGGGGGGGGGGGGGGGGGTGAGTGTGAGGTGACAATGACAAGTTTGGTGTCAATATGCAACCAGCTTGACGAGGGAGGATATTTGAAGAGTTAAAAAATAAAAAAAAACGGGCCACATACACATAGGGTATCGGGCTGACGTATAGACGTTTAACACTGGACACTAGACAAGGGAAAACACTGGGCTAAAGAATCTGGAACTCAACGAGGGAATTAACAAGACACCGCTGAATCAAATGGAACTCAATGGGAACAGGAACAGGAAGTTCCAAATATGGGCACAAAGAAACATGGGAGAAACTGGGTCACGGGGCACATATGGAGCAAAACACAAGAAACAAGAACACAGGGCTGACACTTGACATATTTCCAACAATTTCATTGATGCATTATTTGAGAACGGTTTGTTCTATTGAAAAGCTTTTTGCTAACTTTTTTGCTGGGGAAAATCAGACCAACGGTATAGGAGGATTTTGAAAAAGTATGTTTTCTTAGAAATTCAAAATGGCGGACTGCAAGTTCGACCGAATATGGCATAATTGGCATCAGTGTTCTCAGGATGATCCAAGGAATCTGACAAGACCAGTTTTATTAAAATTGGCCAAATTAATCAAAAGCTATTAACATTTTTTTTTAATTTCATTATACATTTTGACCAGAAGATGTCGCTGTTCCAATACTTTTTGTGTATGGTCCCAATGACACATACCGAGTTTCGTAATATGTTAATGCATTTGTGAAATACAGCCTTTTATGACGAAATTCTAAATGGCCACCGCCCCAAAATGGCCAATATGGAAAAAAATTTGATATAATTTGACACGGCATGCTGCACTGAATCAGAAGCGACCAGTTCAGAAGTTGCAAGCAAAAATAGCCATTTTTCATTTCTCCTGACCAATAGGTGGCACTGTGCCAAAACACTGCATGTAGCTTCAGGTGAATCGTATGATGAAATGTACCAAGTTTGGTCAGAATATGTGAAAGCATTGCAGAGATAGAGCTAGATGATAGATAGATAGATGCTCTTCATCAAATTTGATTGTGTGTTCTTCGAGAACAGTGGGGTTTATCGAAATGCTTTTAATAACTTTTTGCCAGCATGGTCTGAAGATGATCTGAGCCAATTTTGGTGAAAATCAGACAAACCGTCTAGGACGAGTTCGAAAAAACAATATTAACAACAATTCAAAATTGCAAAAAATCTCACTCGAAATTAAAATTGCTTGTCAGTACATTCAGAAGCACATAACAAAACTAATTATGAAATTACATATAATGTTGTACTTAAATCCCACTTAAGAGGGTAAAAACACTCATTTTATATATATATATATATATATATATATATATATAATATTGCAAATAAGTTTAAACGATAATACATTTTATATTTTAATAAATAACAAGCAATAGTATTTGAAAATATTACATTTAGTTTGCACTTAAGTATATTTATTTAAACTATACTATTTCCATAACAAGTACTCTTTTTAAAAGTATACTAAATTGTACTTTTATTTTCACAAGGGTAGGCCTATGTATATTTATCAGATTTTACTAAATCTGTAGCACACATTTACTCTCTGCCCCCAACAGACTCAGACTCTCGTGTTAACTGGTGATATTCAACCCTATAGTGAGCATAGTGTGACAAAATCTAAAGCAGCTATGACAAATACAACAAGTATTGCATTCTGTGTCTTAAATCAAGAATGTCCACCTCTTCCACTATCCTCTGTGTTTTTCCAGCAGTCAGAGTAATGAGCCCTTGTCTCGATCTGTTCCCAGCGTTCAGAGTCGCCTCCAGCTGTTTAGATCAAAAATCTAAACGTAGGGAACAATTTCCATGTCACACAGTGGACGGCAGCTATAATTTCAAAGCACCTGCTCTGAACTGAAATACACAGGGATTTTATTTAGAATGATATCAGTCTCATAATTATCATCAGGGGCAATTAAAACAACATTGTCATGGGATTTATTCCACATTTTTATCACACTCGCTGTGCCAATTAGCTGGAGGTTGTCATGCTTTTGGAGAAAAGATTGACAGAATAACATTGGACTGGATGAGAGGCAAAATTAAGGCCTGGTTAATTGACTTTTAAATTGACTAGTATGTTCGGTTTAGACATGATAAGGAGGAAACACTTTATTTTAAACAGTTACATTGACAATGTAGCTATGATTAAGCGTATGAAATTTTGATCCAGCCATTAGATGAGTTATGCAAGACTCTCTGAGAGCATTCACACATTAGCCCAAATTCACTGCCGTCATTTGTTAAAATTGGAGCGTGATGAAGCTGATGGATTCACAGAGTTTAGCAACATGAACACACATGAACTGTAACACCACCAGATGACGACATTTCTGAACATTTCCCAACACAACAGGAACAAATCCCCTATGGTGCTTTCACTGCTCTGTACATTTGCATCACACCAGCTCAACATACAAACCGGAGTATTCAGGTTCAGAAATTCCTGTCCCATAACCACCCTCTGCCTGGTCTTTTACGGTCACAGTCTTTCTGCTGGTGACAAAATCCTCCGATCACTTCCTCAGTTTGGCAGCCTAGTGAACATGCTAACTGAAAGTAACCCATAGAGCAGTGTCAGCCCACCAAATACCTATCGCATGCAACAAATTTGCACCTTTTGAAGAATGCTGTTTTCTTTACCGCTGTGAGTCCATCTGTAATTAATTGCCACATTCTTGGTGAGGTACAACAATAAAACCCACAACCCTGGAGTGAGTGCCACCTGAACTAATTTGAGACATAGAAAAGGGAACCACAAGGCTAACATTACCAGTTAACATAAAAGCGGAAGAGCCAGTATTGGTATTTTCTGATAAGCAAATGCATTAGGGAGACACAAAAAAATCCAGTCCGATTTGTTTTCATCATTATATGTGGATTGAGTAGTTCAATCATCATAAGTATCCTCATCATCATCAGCATCATCATACACTTTCAAATTTGTAATGTTGCGATTCATCTCAAGGCTTGTTGGTAATTAATAGCTTGTAATTTTCTAAAATGCCTAACGTAGTAAAGAAATGGGGGAAATTCTCCCAGAATCAAGGCCACTTACAGTATGAAGTGAGCTGGCAATAGCAGTTTTAAACAATCAGTCTAAAATCACACTGACTTGTGGCTTCTGCAGGAGAATAAAGCATTGTTTATCAGTTTTGCAGGTTGTCGCGAGTTTATCTTGTTAACTAGCATTAGCATTGGTGTTGGTGAACCTGAGACAGTTTAAGTCAAGACCATCACTTAAGACCTAGACCAATAAAAGACCCAGACTAGACCCCTCAAGACCTAGATTCATGACATTTTGAATAATATACTGATTGGTTTCCCATACCCTTGTGAAAAGAAGTATACTTTAGCATACTTTTAAAAAGAGTGTTTATTACAGAAATATACTTTTAAAGAATATATGAAATGAAACGAAAACGTAATATAGTTTATATTTAAATTAAATGCAGTTTTGACCCACTTAAGTATGTAGTTTCATAATTTATGCAATTGTGGTTAAAGTGAAATATGGTTAAAGTGTACTGTTGAATGTACTGGCAAATATTTATGGTAAAAAAATAAAATAAAAAAAATGACTGTCATCTCTATTTGAAATTGTATGTCATGTATTTAGATATACAGTGGTGTGAAAAAGTGTTGGCCCCCTTCCTGATTTCTTATTTCTTTGCATGTTTGTCACACTTTAATGTTTGCAGTTGTAATTTAAATATACTTAATATATATATATTTTTTTTTTCTTTTAAATATGTTTTATATACATTTTAATATTGAATAACAAACTACAGTTAAAATTATAATCAAGTACTTCACATGTGCTTTAGTAGTCGAATCATCAAAATAACATTACTGTCATGTTCTGTCTGTGTTCCTAGAGTTTAGATCATTTTCAGTGTCATTTGTCTCCATAGTTACTAATTGTGTTCACCTATATCTAGTTTAGTTTCCAGTTCTGTCTTATGTATTTATACCCCCTGTTTAGTTCAGTTCTTTGTCTGTTATGATTAATGTGAAGCTGGTTTGTGCTCCTCCTGTGGCTTTCCGGTGTTCTAGAGCAGTGGTTCCCAACCCTGGTCCTTGAGGCACCCCAACACTGCACGTTTTGCATGTCTCCTTAATCAAACACACCTGATTCAGACCATCAGCTCATTAGTAGAGACTTCAAGACCTGAAATCAGTGTGTCAGAGAAAGGAGATATGCAAAATGTGCAGTGTTGGGGTGCCTCCAGGACCAGGGTTGGGAACCACTGTTCTAGAGGGTTTTGCGTAATAAAAGACTGCTGCATTTAGATATTTGTCTTAAATGTATCCTTTACCTGCACCAACATGACATGTACTTCTTTTAGCACAACAAAATATTAAAGCAGTGATTTGAAATGTACTTTTTATATGGCCTTATTACAAAGTGCACATTTTTAAATTACAAGTGTGTTAAGTAACAGTCATGAAAGGCTGCTCTCCTTGAGTACACTCAAGTGGCCTCATCTGCAATTTTTTTTTATGTACTTTTTTTTAATTTTGAAGAACACTGCCAGTGTAAATTCAATACAATGAATCACACTTTTAACCAATTGTGGGCCGGATCTTTCAAGGTTTAAAAAGGAAAGCAAAAGCACGATAGAATCACAAACATATCACATGACTTCCAAGTCTTCTAACGTCAGTCAATAGCTCTGTGTGAGGAACAGTCTGGAATTAAAGCAGTCAAATAACTGTCCTTCTGTTCATTTTTGGGTGAACTGTTCCTGTAAATTGTAAGACCGAGACAAGGACACCAAGTAATGAGACCTAAACCAACACTACGTTTATGTGATCTTGAAAGGTTTGGTGAAGATGCTCATAAACTCTCTTGACCATTGGGTCTGAGGGATTACATCTGCCTATAGTCCTTAATGGCATTAACTGATCACTGCTCTCAGCGGGTGCCTGTGAGACTAAAGATCCTTTAAGCTGACCATACAGGTTCATTAGGCAGAAAAAAAACTCCCTGTTTTTAAGTCCTTCCATTTGCTTTTCCATAACATGTTGATTCTAATGCATACAATAATGTTGCACTCCACATGAAGACTGCACACTTGTACCTTTTCAAAGTGATATAAACAAGTACAGTGAAGATTGAACATGCAAAACATGCCTTGGAAATGCTGCTTATTGGCTCAGGTAAAAAGAGGCCAACTCCAAGTCTGTATGATATTCTCAAGTACCTCCATCAGTGCAAGTCAGTGGGATTTTTTTGATCTGCCAGACAAAATTAAGTCTGGTTGCTTAAAGTAACACCACAATGCTGAGCAGCAGTGATTATGATAACAATGGTTCTGTTAACCAGAGAATCAATAGAGAACATCCTGGTTATGATTACAATGCTATAAAAGATTAGACAGCTCTTACCCGAAAGACTCCTTGGTAACGTTGGACATAAGAAAGCTTGGAAACTAGTCACACACAATTCACTAACACTCCCCATGTCCTCAGAATGAAGGTTTTTCTGCTCTGTGTTTGCAGCTTTTCTCCCTTCCCCAATTTCAGCGTGTGGGTCAAGCTACACACACCCAAACCAGCCTGCCTGTCATGTCTCAGTATCTCACAGCGTTCGCTCTGTAGTCCACAGGACTCGTCCTCTTCCTCTATAAGTCGTCATGTCTGTGTGTGCGTTTGTGCATTGCTTGACAATCTCAACTTCTCTGTGACACGTTCAATACTTCACAATGCAATTTGTGTGTTTGTTTCCTCTTTCTGAGCTTGCCGTAAAAACTGCAATGCAATTTTCTTCCCCTCTCACTGCTAATAATCTCGCTCCGCTTCTCTGCTCTCCTAATCTGCCTCTTTCAGTCCCACACTCGCGCTCTGAAGTCTGCACACACAAACACAAAAGAAAACAAGAGGATAAACACCACTGTAAAAATTAATGTCAATCGCCTCAATGACCAGCTGTGAATCCCCTCAGCGGTCACTAGGGCTGTCAAAACTAAATTCGAATTTTCCACTTAAATATTATCAAATTATATTCGAATTTAAAAGGCATAATTTCAATTAGGGGGGGGGGAGCTTTTGGCTTCTCTCCTGAGGCCACAAGAGGGCTCTTCGAGCGAAATATTATGCACATTTCTTCAAAGCGTAATAAAATAACACGACCATCTTTGAAAAAAAGTGCATAATGTTTAAAATAATGTTTATAAACCATATATAATTAATAAAGTTGCTTAAACAATTAGAAGAAAAAAAATAGCACCATGAATGTATGTATAGTTTAATACAAAGGACCGAAAACCAATCACAACGAGTATGCTATTTTCTTCATTTAAAAACATGAGATACAGTGGGATGGGGGGAAAACGCCATTTAAAAGTTGAACTTACATTCATTTTACATGGCTTTCTAAACATGCCGCTCTCTTGTGCGAGACGCGAGTGCAACGCTGATAGATGTCCCTCTAGAAAATGTGATAAATATGCGTTCTGTGTGAACGGCTTGTTTTCAGTTTCGCCGTAAACAACATCTTTGCCACACTGATGCTCTCGTTTTCTGCTATATATTGAATGAACAATGTAGCAGCGCCGCATAGTGGATTCAACTTGATAGGCTAAAAATGCTATGACACTTACATTGTCGTTGCATTTCGTGTACCACTGATAACGTTTCTGCATTCAAATTTTTTTTCAATTCGAAGAATATTCGAAATTCTGATTTTATTTTTTTTTTGACAGCCCTAGCGGTCACATATCTATACATTACATACCTCAGCCAATTACCTTTCAGCATGCCAGCTGTCTTTCTGTCAGTCACAGTCAACAAGAGAGTGAAAATCACGAGTACAGAGAGCATGAGAGAAACGCCGGGGGACGAACGTCTCATGCATGAGCTGCAAAGTAAGGGAATAAAAATGCTGCAGCTGCACGTCAAACTGCACGTCATAGGACAGCAGAGCCCTTTCTGTCAACTCAGCATCTCTCCTCACATCTGACTCTTCACTTCCCTTTGAGCTGCCATTTATTCTGCAGCTGTGAAGAAAAACCAAGCGAAAGAACAGTCAGAAACGGCACCCTCTGAAAGTCTGAAGAAGCTCTTTAGAGGTCAAACAAGGTTTCCACATCTGACCAATGAACTATCATGAATTTCTGCCAGTCATTTATTAGTCACCAAGACAATGGTATATAGTTGTTTTTCCTTGTGCTTTAGTAACATAGAGTGCATGCTATTTTGTTACTTTCACCCGTCCCACAAATGTAAAGACGCATTGTTATTTTGTTTTTCCCGTTATGGAATATTCCACATATGTGTGATTTTCCATGTGGTTAAAGTAGTTGGTTAAATGACTTCAGCAGCTGGTTTGTCAGGTTTTTTTTCTCTCTCGAATCGCTCATGTTACTTAGGTGAGCAAAGGTCAGACTCAATTCAACTAAATCTATGATGAACTTCCCAGCAAAGTCCATTTTTAAAGTCCTCTGTACATATATGTGTATATCTGTGCAAATATACTTTTAGGTTCTTAAAAGTTACTATTTATCAGACTACAATATTATATGCAATATAATATTTGAGTTTGAATAGAGTTAAAGCATACAGAGCTCTCAATACCTCTAAAATACATGCACCACACATATGTATCCCATCTCAGGTCATCTCAAAGTCATGGCTATATCATAACATAAATATCGATGCATTAAGTTTTTCCCACCAGCTGCCATGCTTCAAAACATACATATGCTGTTTTTTTCAACAGAGAATGTATTTTTGGGGTGCAGGGTGTCTAATGCCTGATCTCATCTGATGCAAGTTCAAAAACATCAATGCACAGACACAGAATACTGATTAAGAACAAGATGAATGTGAGTAAATGGGCAATTTGTTATGGAAATGTTTGTTTCAGTTGGTATTGTAAGCATCTGAAGTGTCTGACAGCATGAAACTATAAAAGCAGCCTGTTAAATGTGGCGTGGAGTCTTTGCGCAAGTGTTTGTGAGTTTACAGGGTGTCATGTTGAACTAAAGAGCTGTTCGTGTGGGATGAAGAGAGCTCTTGGGCGGCTAGAGCTTCACGCTTTCGGCCCACAGCAGTTCAAAAATCGACAAAAACAGCTCATAAACTCTCCCTCATGCTAGTTTAGATGTTACATCATCTCACATCAGAGCTGGATCTGAAGCTCAAACATCTTTCAGCAAGCTGAGTTTCCTGGTCTTAAAGGGATAGTTCACCCAAAAATGAAAATGTGATGTTTATCTGCTTACCCCCAGGGCATCCAAGATGTAGGTGAATTTGTTTCTTCAGTAGAACACAAACGAAGATTTTTAACTCAAACCGTTGTAGTCTGTCAGTCATATAATGGAAGTGAATGGGAATCACGGCTTTGAGAGTCAAAAAAACATACACAAACAAAACCAAATTAAACCCTGCGGCTCGTGACGATACATTGATGCGTAAAGACACGAAACGATCGGTCTGTGCAAGAAACTGAACAGTATTTATATCGTTTTTTTACCTCTGATTTACTGCAATGTCCGAACTGTCCTGAGCACGTCCTGAGTGCGTGACACGTCTTCTTCTTCTTCTTGCTTTACGGCGGATCGCAGACTTATAAGTGCATTACCACCACCTACTGTATCTCTCAAATGGGCCACTGACACTCCCAACTGAGATTGTAGATAGAGTGTCAATGGTCCATTTGAAACATAGGTGGCGGTAATGCACTTATAAGTCTACGATCTGCCGTAAAGCAAGAAGAAGAAGAAGACGTGTCACGCACTCAGGACGTGCTCAGGACAGTTCGGACATTGCAGTAAATCAGAGGTAAAAAAAACCTATATAAATACTGTTCAGTTTCTTGCACAGACCGATCGTTTCGTGTCTTTACGCATCAATGTATCGTCACGAGCCGCAGGGTTTAATTTGGTTTTGTTTGTGTATGTTTTTTTGACTCTCAAAGCCGTGATTCCCATTCACTTCCATTATAAGACTGACAGACTGCAACGGTTTGAGTTCAAAATCTTCGTTTGTGTTCTACTGAAGAAACAAAGTCACCTACATCTTAGATGCCCTGGGGGTAAGCAGATAAACATCACATTTTTATTTTTGGGTGAACTATCCCTTTAAAGCCTGTGCATTCAAGAGAAGAGCTGATCCACAGTCAGTGTCAACACTGCGAGATGATCTGAGATCTAGTATTGTGTTACAACACTGACCTCAAACATACGTACAGAACCTGCCTAACATCAATTCTGCAAAGTGACACCCGATCAGACAAAACACACTGGGTCAGTGACGTGTTATGATGATATAATCATCTATTCCTCACCAGTTTGCTTCAGACTTTTACTCACTTTTCACCAGTAACCTTAAACTAATTAATCTCAACAAACAGGCCCGTATTAGTTTTGTGGTTCACAACAGGTTTGAAGTTCTGACTGTATATGAAATGGCACACAATTATGACTCCTGAATAACGTTTGTATGCCAAGCAATAAATGTAGGTCACAAAATGCGTCAACTTCATAACTCAGCAACATATGAAGTACATTTAGGTCTAGCAAGTTCAGGTCATACAAAAGCTGATACTACTGAAGGTACTGGACAAAACTTTATATTAATAGACAACACTCTCAGTTAATGACTGCTTGGGTTTTGCTTACTAGTCTCCTTCAGCGTAGGTTTACTGGAGTTTTATCATACTATCAAGATTTTCCCAGTGAACTATCCATCAAACTAACTGCAATTAACCATGTGATTTCTTTGAAGAGGCTACAGCAAATTGCATCCTGTAACACTCGCCACCATCTTTTCTATTTTGGGACGCATTCTGTTCTCAGCAAACTGAACAATGAATAATTGAGAAGAGTCTTTCCATCGCAATGAACATCATAAAACAGCACACACTATCCTGAAGCAGAGCATTTTGAAGCTGGTCAGTTTTATCATGATCAAAACATTCCACAATTACACAAAGTGGGTTAATGTCTTTATCGTTGAATTGCATTAATTTGTATTCAGAAGTTACATCTCAGAGTCAATTGTATGATTGTATAGGCATCCTGTGTTCCTCAACAAAGTTGGTGTGCGAGTTTACTGTGAGCTTTGTGGAAATGTTACATTGTTTATAGGGCTGCACGATTTACTTCACAGCCGTAGTTCACTGAGAAGCTACGCAAACAGCTGTCATTACCGCGAACGATTTCTTCGATTTCAGAATCGTGCAATAAAATCGTCTGCGATTTTATTTGCGTAACTTGTCAGTGAACTATGTGTTCTAGGTGTAGTAAATTCTGCTCCATCTGAAAGCACGTGATAATGATTTCCTGCTGATTACAGAACCGGCATTACTATCAAAATGCGCATGACAATCGCATTCGATTAATCGTGCAGCCCTAATTGTTGACTCTTTTGCAGGTGGGACTGTAGCTATAAGGACTTAGTAAAGTTTTGAGCCAAAAGTCCCATTACACAAATGTATGGTTTCTCTGGCAGTGGTTTGATAATTATGGCTCTATAAAAAAAATTAATTTCTATCAAAACTAAAATTCCAATATCATCATATGTTGTAATAGCTGGTGTTTAAAGAGAACACAGTAAAACCACGGTGACATATTCTGACAATGGCCAACTATTTAATGAAGGTACTGTAGCTTTTAACTGAAAGGTCCCTTGTGAAAAGAAAAAGTGTGCTTAACTGTACTGAATGTAGTGCACTTCAAATCTTAAAAGTATTTTCCCTTTATTTTTCCCACATTTTTTTAAAAGAACTGTACATACAGATAATATTATTGAAATAAAAGGCCACTTACAGTAAGTGTACACTCCGCTTAAGAGAGAACATTTTCACGACTATATGTTTCTTAACACACTTAAAGGTGGGGTAAGTGATTTCTGGTAGCCAATGTTGACATTTGAAATCACCAAATCAAACACGCCCCTACCCCAAAAGTGTCTCGCCCCTATTTTGATAGCTCCACCCCACACATACGTATGCAACCCAGGCAACGGATTAGTTCTGTGAAACAAAGCAAAACTGCTGCTGCATTCCATTTATTACGTATTGACACAAATTTCAAATGATTTTCAACGGTCGCTTTGTCGCGTCCAGTGTCCTAGACAGACTTTAGCTGTTGCGGCGCATACACGGTGTTACTCACCTATCGAGAAGAAACAAAGCAACCTCGGCGTCCGATCGCAGGCCTTCCGCTCCTTGAGTTCTCTACAGCGCTAGAAAGATTGACTACAAGTTTTGCTATTCGGCCCGAATCGGTTTTCTAAAGTGTTTTTGAAAAATCGCTTACCCCACTTTTAAAAACATTCAGTTTGCAATAATGTCAAATTAAAAGCTTTACTTTAAAGTATACTTTAAATCATTATGTTTTAATAATCTTTTGTTGTAATTTAAAGAAGTAGGCCTGCATGTTTGTTTGATGTGTTGACTAACATACTAAAGCACATGTAAAGTACTTGTTTATAATTTTAACTACAGATTAACTACACATGAAGTATGATTTCATATTACGTTAATATATATTAAATGTACTAAATTGCAACCTCATATAAATGTGTACTTTAAATATATATTAGGCTAAAATATACTTAACACGTATTTAAATAACAATTAAATAACAAATTTTCGCCTAAGTAAAGCTACCTCGCTCTACCCTGCCCTACATCTATTATGTTTAATATTATAAAATAAAGTACGCGAGCTTGAAGCTCTTAAATAATTCAGAATCCGCGGTAAGTCTAAAGGACCTGTTTGAGGCATGCCAACAATTTAAAACATCCGAATCCTCAGAGATATCAAACGTGTTTCCAATGGAAACAATGCATGTGAAATCAACGATTCCAGAAATGTAGGCCTACAGTATTTTCATGCACAGTATTTTCCTCCATGCTGTAAATCACAGCCTTGCACGCGCAATGCCATTTTTAGCACTGTAGACATGAAGCAGAGATCGTGTCCTACCGTAGCTCTCCTCATCCATCTCCAGCGAGCTGACACTGACGCAGGAACAGTGAAGGTGTGTCTCAGAGCGGCTGCTCTCTTCTGCCCAACCCATGCAGTGTGAGGCCGGCGGAAGAGCCCCGGACGCGCCCCGCTCTCTCTCTCTCTCTCTCTCTCTCTCTCGCTCTCTCTCCTGCCGCATCTCTGTCTGCATCTCAGACCGACTATGAGGGTGTCACTCAGAGCATGATTTTACCTAATCTTGATGGATTTTTTTTTTAAGATTTGGCATCCTTTGTGGTTGGACTCATTGTCAACTAAAGGGAAATTTTTGTACAGAGTCTGTCATCATTTTGAAGGAAAGGTTGATACACCATGGTGTTCTTTCTTCTTCTTTTTTTGGGCTGGAATAAAATGCTGCGCCTTGTTTACAAGTAGAGGAATGCACACACACATGCGTCATGGTACTCTCGTGAATGCGTGTCGACTGAGACAGAAGAGAAGAAATTGTTGAATAAAGTCGTTATTTTAGTTTTCTTTGCACACAGAAAGTACACTCGTAGCTTCATAAAATTAAGGTTGCACCACAGATGTCACATTGACTATTTTAACGATGCTCTTACAACCTTTCTGGGCCTTGAACGTGTCAGTTGCATTGCTGTCTATGGAGACTCAGAAAGCGCTTGGATTTTAATTTGTGTTCCGAAGATGAACGAAGGTCTTACGGGGTTTTTTTTTTTTTGAACGACATGAGGGTGATTAATTAATGACAGAATTTTCATTGTTGGGTGAACCCTTTAACAAAATATAATAATCAAATTGTTTGAAGGATTTTAAACATGGCAGTGACTGTGTACTATGTAAATGCTAAGTTAACATACTATGTTAAGTGTCAGGGGGTGTAAACTTTGCAAAACAACGTTTTGTAAATTGTCATTTTGTCTTGAAATATATTAATATCATATGCAGCTCCTGAAGGGCAGTACTAAATAATAAAAAAAGAAGAAATAATAAAAAGAAATAACATAACAAAATAACGTAGTTATGTTGCATTCATATAATCTTCTGGAATAACAACATACTCACATTTAATTTCTACAGTAAAAAAAATAAGCCACTTACCATGTTGTTTATCAAACTGACTTGACATGCAACCATGTTAATTTGTCCATTTTTCTCACACCAATAATGACAAAAGAACAAAAAAGATAATATCAAGGAAAATATCAAGTAAACTGTGATTTTGCATAAACGGTTTACATTAACATTTAACATTTTAACAAGTGCAAATGAATAAACATATATGTCTTAATGTTCAGATTCTGACGCCCTAACAGGTTAATGCTACACTCTAAAAAATGCTGGGTTAAATACAACCCAGTGCTGGGTAAAATAGGGACAAACCCAGCAATTGGGTTGTTTTGACCCAGCGGTTGGGTTAAATGCTTAAATGCTTAACCCAACCTTCTGGGTAGTAACCCAACCGCTGGGTCAAAACAACCCAATTGCTGGGTTTGTCCATATTTTACCCAGCACTGGGTTGTATTTAACCCAGCATTTTTTAGAGTGCACTCAATTACTTATTCAGCTAAGAGCAGTGAGTGATATGGATGTTTCAAAGGTACCAGCAAGTTGTTTGCTAGGATCATGTTCAGTGCATAAATGAACTGGGATAACATGGATCACAAGACGGTATCTCTGATGTGTAAAATGGATCATGAGCTCAGTCTAGTCATGCCGCTGATGCAGTTTCAACCAATTTTCATGCATTAGCTAGGATTAATTAAGACTATTCATGTTGCTATGACAAAGGAAATAAAACACTAAAATAAAAAATCTACTATATAATATAGCATTTTATGAGCTGTTAAATTATGCAAAAGCAACAGGATTTGTTATTTATACTTGATTTTTATTGTATTATTATTATTTGAACCATCTTGGCGATGCACACTTCAGCCAGTAGATGGCGAAAAATGACCATAAGTTGGTTTTCCAACAGCCATAAAACACCACCAGAAAAAAAAGAAGAGTCATGTCATATTATTCCACATCCGACAGTGGAGTTCAGCAATGCGCGTGCTGTAAATGGCGCATTTGTAGTGCGTACTGTAAAGACTGCGAGCTGACATTCACCCCAATAAATGAGCAACTCCAGCCGAAGACAACTGAAATCAAGATGTTTATTAAAGAGGAGAGTGAAGAAACGAGTTGCCCAGATGAATGCACAACGAAGCATGTAGATACTGATGAACAAAGAGGTTTGTGCCCATTTGATTTTTGGCTGCTCAGAGCAAACCCGACATATGTCTAATGATCTGGCCACATTATGTTTAGGCTCTGATTTTTGCATGATGTGTTTTGTCATCTGACATTACAGGAATTCCTCACTTCTATTTGATCATGTGACTGTTTTAATAATTAGGTGGTTATTTTTCAAAATTGTAATCATTTACGCATACATGATCCGTACAGTAGTCATCATGCAGTGCATTTAAACCTGTTTTTATACAGTCTATGATTTAAACCGACGCTGGTAAAACTGGGATTGTTTTCAGTTATATGATTATATGTGAAATACAGTTCATATCCATATGTCACCTGAGCCTACATTCTACCTGTACGAATGCAGTTAAACCAGTGGTTCTTAACCAGGGGACTTCAGCAAACTTTCATGGGGGCCTCAAGGCTTAAATTTATTTACATCTAGCTTAGTATTTACATATTCTTAATTCAAATGCTAAAAAAAACAGTAAAAGTAAATATGTACAATATTAAACTGACGTCATATTTATTGATTTTACTTGTTTTATTACAACAGAAGCACCTGAAAGACATAGGCTACAGTATAAGCTTAGATACCGGGGCCTTCGCATATTGTCTTAGTTCAAGGCAAGAAGAGCACAATAGCTTTTCTTTGTTTATTACCCCTCACCACTCTCAACAACGTAGTTCTTCTCTGTTTCACATTTAAGGTTGTTATTTTACTAGTTTATAACTTGCTTATTACTCATAAACATTTCTAGATATGACTTCTATTTGTGTGAATAGGGTTGTTCAGACTTCTGTTACCAGCAGACATGAAGATGAACTGCACTGCAAATCGTTCTGTTATATTGTCACCAGTATGTGTGTTAAAGGGGTCATATGATGCTTTTTTAAAGATCATTATTTTGTGTTTTTGGTGTAACAGAATATGTTGACATGCTTTAATGTTCAAAAAACACATTATTTTTCAAATACTTGTACATTACATTTTCTTTGATGATAATAAATCGTTTTGTAAAGCATCTCAATTGAAATTTGTCATTTTAATAGATTATGTAAAGACAATGACTTTGAAGTGCATCTAATTGATTATAACTTTGAACAAGCCTTAAACATCTACCAGATTTATTGTAAATAATATAAGCAAGACTAATTTTCTCAAACTTTACCACATGAAAGATTAGGTGGCAGTAGATACTCGGCCCCTGTAGCTTTCTGCCATTAAATCAACATGTTTTTCATATTTGTCTTTCTAGAACTAGAACTCTCTATTCTGTTTCTTTTCTATCTACTTGCTTTCTTTTTATTTATTAAAAAACAATAAAACAAACAAAACTTCATCCGTTAACGTTAGCGTTCTCTATTCTTTTTCTATTTACTTGTTTAATTTTTAATTATTATAAAGAATAACCTGATCCTGTCTATTCTGTTTCTTTTCTATCTCCTTTTTTATTATTTTTATTAATAATTTCTTTTAAAAGCAGTGTTACGTAGCGTTACACTGTAAAAAAAAAAATCTTTGACATTTACGGTAAAATACCGGCAGCTGTGGTTGCCAGAACTTCATCGTAAAAAATATGGTTGCAACATTTTAGGTTTTACAGACTTAACTTAAATTCACAATAAAATACCACATTTCATTAACTGATGTAATGTTAATAAACCAACATATTGAAGTACTAACATCTGTTTTGAACCATTGTAATGCACTGATAACCACCAAAAACTGGTGGTGATGATAAAGTCACACATTGAACCTAAACTCATCACAAACAGCTTTTCTACGAGCTGAGGAGGACAATACTTATATATAGAAGGTGCACACAGTGTCATTCACACAAACACTAAACCCCATCATGGTGACACACGTGATACTGAAATAATGCAATACACATTCATTTAACAACATTAGATGTAAGATTAAACTCTAGTGTACACAACTGATAAGAAAAATTTCAAATATGAAGTGTCATGCAGGGAATTCTGGGAGTGTCAATTTACGGTTTTGATACAATGACTTTTTCTTTTTCACTTCCAAAAACCGTATTTTTAACAGTACTTTACTGTAAAATCACATTAAATGTAATTCGACTTATTCACCGAATATAGTGTGGAAACTTACTGTTAACCAGTTAACAGGTTTTTACTGTAACATTTTTACAGTCTTTTACTGTTAAAATCACAATCATTTTTTACAGTGTAGATTAACCTGGACTTGTCACAACACTCATATATTGTTGCTCTTCTGTTAGTTTGATCGCTCATTTGTAAGTCACTTTGGATAAAAGCATCTTCTAAATTATTAAATGTAAATGTCTTTCTTGAAAATATTTTTCACAGTTTGATATTCTCGTTTTAGTCCTGATCGAAGTGAAAGAAGAAAGTGAAGAACTGAATGAAGTAGAGGAGAGACACCAGTATCAGACGCCTCATTATTTCATAACTGCAGAAAGGTCTTTCAGTGACTCACAGACTAAAAAGAAAAAGTCACGCAAACGGACTCCGAGGACCTTCACCTGCCCTTGCTGTGTGAAGACCTTCACACGTAAAGGAAACCTGTTGATTCACATCAGAATTCACAATGGAGAGAGTCCTTTCTCGTGTTTCCAGTGTGGAAAGGGTTTCACGCAGAAAGGAAGCCTTAAGAGACACCAGAGAATCCACAGCGGAGAGAAGCCCTTCACCTGTCTTCAGTGTGGAAAGAGTTTCTCGGAGACGGGAAGCCTTAAGAGACACACACGGATTCACACGGGAGAAAAGCCCTTCACGTGCCACGAGTGTGGGAAGCGTTTCACACAGGCAGTGGGTCTGAAAACCCATCTGTGTCCTCACTCTGGAGTCCGATCGTTGAACTGTCTTCAGTGTGGAACAAACTTGCCTTCAGCATCAGTGCTAAAAACACACCTGAGAATCCACGCGAATGAGAGCAGCAGAGAAGAGCAGCTGAGAGGCGCTGCGGTGAGATCTCACGTGTGCTTTGAGTGCGGGAAAGCCTTTTCCAAAACCTACGACCTGGAACGGCACCAAAGGATCCACACCGGAGAAAAGCCCTACAAGTGCTTACGGTGTGGAAAGAGTTTCAATCAGTCAGGATCTCTGAAAGCACATGAGCGAGTTCATACTGGAGAGAAGCCGTTCCACTGCCATTCCTGTGGGAAGCGCTTCAACCAGCCAGGTTCTCTGAAGACTCATCAGAAAAAGCATTGCCCAGAGTTATTTATTCAGACGGTGATTATTTCTGACGGGATGTCATTTCAGCATTAACAGACAGTAATCCGCGATTTGATTGCCATCTGAGTTTTTGTTGTTCTACATATGTGGTGAAAATTCCGGGCTGTATCTGACCTGTTGTTTTTAGACAAACGTCCGGATCACATGGTGACTTATTTAGTGCAGTTTGGGTGAAATGAAGGCTTGCATTTGAGTAATTTACTGTTTAAAGGGGTTCTATTATGCTCTATTACAAAGTCTTGATTTTGTTTTGGGGGTGTATTAGAACAGGCTCTCATACTAGGCTGTTCGAAAAATACATTATTTTTCACATATTTTACATTATTACAACACCTCTCTCCCCAGTCTGGCATGAACGGCTCCAACGTGATAAAAGAACATTTAACAAAAATGATGCACACTGTTCAGTGTGTAATCAAAATGTTTTTTTTTTTCTTATTATTATTATATTTTAAAGTATAACTCAATAATTTCCAGGGAGTTGAAAATTACAATTTATTAATTTTTGATTTCATATTAGTGCTGTCAAACGATTCATCGCGATTAATCGCATCCAAAATAAAAAAATGTTGTTATAAAATATGTGTGTGTACTGTGTATATTTATAAATACACAAACATACATGTATATATTTTTTAAATATTTACATGTATGTATATACTGTATATATATATATTTATTTATTTATTTATATTCATATATAATTTATGTTAAATATAAATATTTTATATTTTAAAAAAACATTTTCTTAAATATACAGGTGCATCTCAATAAATTAGAAGTGGGTGTGGAATTCAACTCAAATTGTGAAACTCGTGTATTAAATAAATTCAATGCACACAGACTGAAGTAGTTTAAGTCTTTGGTTCTTTTAATTGTGATGATTTTGGCTCACATTTAACAAAAACCCACCAATTCACTATTTGTGTGAACTTCACAAGGAAGGCTGGGGTCAAGGCATCAAGAGCCACCACACACAGACGTGTCAAGGAATTTGGCTACAGTTGTCGTATTCCTCTTGTTAAGCCACTCCTGAACCACAGACAACATCAGAGGCGTCTTACCTGGGCTAAGGAGAAGAAGAACTGGACTGTTGCCCAGTGGTCCAAAGTCCTCTTTTCAGATGAGAGCAAGTTTTGTATTTCATTTGGAAACCAAGGTCCTAGAGTCTGGAGGAAGGGTGGAGAAGCTCATAGCCCAAGTTGCTTGAAGTCCAGTGTTAAGTTTCCACAGTCTGTGATGATTTGGGGTGCAATGTCATCTGCTGGTGTTGGTCCATTGTGTTTTTTGAAAACCAACGTCACTGCACCCGTTTACCAAGACATTTTGGAGCACTTCATGCTTCCTTCTGCTGATCAGCTTTTTGAAGATGCTGATTTCATTTCTCAGCAGGATTTGACACCTGCCCGCACTGCCAAAAGCACCAAAAGTTGGTTAAATGGCCATGGTGTTGGTGTGCTTGACTGGCCAGCAAACTCACCAGACCTGAACCCCATAGAGAATCTATGGGGTATTGTCAAGAGGAAGATGAGAAACAAGAGACCAAAAAAATGCAGATGAACTGAAGGCCACTGTCAAAGAAACCTGAGCTTCCATACCACCTCAGCAGTGCCACAAACTGATCACCTCCATGCCACGCCGAATTGAGGCAGTAATTAAAGCAAAAGGAGCCCCTACCAAGTATTGAGTACATGTACAGTAAATTAACATACTTTCCAGAAGGCCAACAATTCACTAAAACTGTTTTTTTTTTATTGGTCTT